ACCATCGGTATTTAAACAAGGAATATTTAGCCTATCTCAAATAAAATGAAAAAGGCTGGGGGTGTAGCTCATTGTTAAGGTATCCCTAAATTCAATCCCCAGTAAGTACCAAGAAAAAATAAATAAATTTCTTCTTTATCAGTATCAGTGTGGCCTTTCACCTCTATTTTTTGGGGGTTGGGGTAGGTTACTGGGGATTTAATCCAGGGGTGCTTTACTACTGAGCCATATCCCCAGCCCTTTTTATTTGAGACTGGGTCTCACTAAGTTCATCAAGGAACTTGTTGAATTGCTAAGGCTTATCTCGAACTTGCAGTCCTCCTGCTTCAGTCTCCCAAGTTGCTGGGTTACAGGTGAGCGCCAAAGCACCCAGCCTTTCTCCTCTAAATTGTGTGTGTGTGTGTGTGTGTGTGTATTTTTGGGCTAGTTTTAATCAAAGAGCTCCATAAGCTGAGGGCACAGTGGCACATACTAGTCTGTAATACCAGCAACTTGGGAGGCTGAGGCAGGAGAATGGCAAATTTGAGACTAGCTTGGGCAATTTAGGGAGACTCTGTCTCAAAATATAAAATGGGTTGGAGGTGTACCTCAGTGGTAGAGCACCCCCATGTTCAATCCCTAGTCTTACAAGAGATAAATAATTTAAATTTTTCATTTTAAAAACTCTAGTATAATAAAATTAATAGCAATAGGTCTATTTTTCCTTGAAATTTTACTTCTTATATATTATTATTATTATTTGGTGCTGGGGATTGAACCCAGGGCCTTGTGCATGAGATGTATGCACTCTACCAACTGAGCTATATCCCCAGCAAAATTTCACTTCTTATAATCAAATTTTTAAAAATATTTTTATTAGTCATTCATGGATCTTTATTTTATTTATTTATTTATATGTGGTGCTGAGTATCGAACCCAGTGCCTCGCACATGTTAGGCGAGTGCTCTTCTACTGAGCCCCAGCCCCAACCCTTATAATCAAATTTTTGTTTAACAGCTTTAGCTTGTCAATTTATAATCAAATTTAGCTTGTCATTTTAGAGCCAAATAATGATTTTCCTTTTGGCTCTGGGTAAAATACATATCAAATTTATATAAAGAAATTATCGGGCTAGGGATGTGGCTCAAGCGGTAGCGCGCTCGCCTGCCATGCGTGCGGCCCAGGTTTGATCCTCAGCACCACACATACAAAGATGTTGTATCCACCGAAAAAAAAAAAATATTAAAAATTCTCTCTCTCTCTCTCTCTTTCTGACCTGTACGTATAGATCAGTGATAGAGGTCTTGCCAGCATGTAGAAGGCCCTGGATTTGATTCCCAGCACTGCACTCAGCCCCACACACAGCCAACCCCATAGAATAAGGTGTATATTATGCTGTGATGCTGCCCACAACTGAGGATAATTCTATGTTTCTTTCCTTTGTCTTTTCTTTCTTTTTCCTTTTTTTAAATTTTTGGTACCAGAGATTGAACCCAGGGGTGCTTAACCACTAAGCCACCTCCACAGCCCTTATTTGATTCTGTGTCTCACTAATTTATTTAGGGTCTTGCTAAATTGCTGAGGCTGTCCTTGAACTTGTGATCCTCCTGCTTCAACCTCCTGAGCCACTGAGATTACATCTTTTTATTTATTTATTTTTAGTTGAGCATCTCAATATGTCATCCAGGCTGTTCTTGAATTCCTGGGTCCAAATGATCTTCCAGCTTTAGTCTGAGAAGTAGCTGGGACTACAAGTACACAACATGGTGCCCAATGAGGAGAATTTTTTCAGGATGAGATTTGAAAAAAAAGTTAAGAGGTGGTAGAGTGCATTTTCCCCAGAATATTCTGATAAAAGAATGACTATGGGCTTACTTGAAATTACCCAATACAATATCTTTCTAAGCCTGTTCTCAGAGAGTTCTCTGTAAGGTGAACATGAGCCCAAGGCTTCTTTGTTTGGGCCTGGGCAGGTCCATTTGGGACTGTCTCTGTGCCAGAATTAGAAAGTTAGAAATGCTTACACAGTCTTTGGGGTTCCTCCAATTCTGCAATTCTGACAAGTAAAGATAAGGGAAGGAGGCTTCTTTGTTCTCTCATCCCTAACTCACTTTTTCTGAGGCTGGAACAACCAATGCAGATGTATTTGATTTTTCTCCATTTCTTACAAGGATTTGCTCAGTTTTGGCTCCTGGAATCTACCTAAGTCTGAGGTCTTGTCCTTGGGCGAGAAATCTGGGAAACCTTCTGCTCTCCGGAGGAAATGGGGTATGTAGATTAACCAAACTGCCGCATCCGGCCAAGGGAGCCGAGTCCGGAGAGGGACGGCGAGGTTAAAAGACACACAGGACACCAAGGTTCTTCATCCAGGAGTCAATATCTTTATTGCTAACACACCTTTTTTTATACCCCAAGCAGCAGAAGTGGAAAACTACCCAAAAGCAGGAGGGAGGGGGGAGAAATTTAGTTTCAACATCTATTATTGTCAGGTACTGAAACCTCCCTTAACAATAAGTCCATCAGACCAGAAAAGGTCAAGGCATTCCCGTGGGATACATATGTCTCAGACGGACAAGCAGGAACAGAAAAACCGCAAGTTCGCCATGGCCTTGTGAGCTGGCCACACTGGCATGCAGAACAAACTAGTGGAGGTAGGGCTCCAGGGGCCAGGGTGGACCTGCTGCCAACACCAAACCAAACCAAAGGACCAATTTATAAAGTGACAATAAGTAGTATAATAAATAATAAAGGCACCAAGCCCCTACCACTCCTGACCCCAAACTTCTCTCTATAGGCCCCTGTGGAAAACAGATGGTCCTTAGTGTGCAATTTTTTTGTGTGACACAGGGTTTCACATTATTGCTCAGCTGGCTTTGAACTCCTGAGCTCAAGGGATCCTCCTGTCTCGGCCTGCTGAATAGCTGGAACTAAAGGCAGGTGCCATCACACACACAATTTTTTTGGGGGGGTGGGTGGGTGGGAGTGGGGATTGAACATAGGGCTTCCCAGCATGCTAGGCAAGGCTCTACCATTGAGCTGCACCCCCAGACTCCCAACTTTATATATATATATATATATATATATATATATATATATATATATTTTTTTTTTTTTTTTTCCCAATGAACCTTTATTTATTTATTTATTTTTAATGTGGTGCTGAGAATTGAACCCAGTGCCTCACACAGGCAAGCTCTTTACCACTGAGCCACCACCCCAGCCCCCAGATTCCAGACTTTTGAGAAAGGGTAGGGCTAACTTGCCCAGGCTGGCCTTGATCCTCTTGCTTGTAACCTCCAAAGTAGCTGAGTTTACAGGCATTTGACACTGTGCCTGGCTAGCAAGTGGTCTTTTTTTTTTTTTTTTTTTAATATATATATACTTTATGACTTTATTTATTTTTCATATGGTGCTGAGGATGGAACCCAGTGCCTCACCCGTTCTAGGCAAGCGCTCTACCACTGAGTTACAGCCCTAGCCCCAGCAAGTGGTCCTTTAGAAGAGTGCTCTGTAGGCCACAAATTGGAAGGACCAGACTCCTCCACTGTAGGAGGCTCTGGGGAAAAAAAGCTGATGCTGTCATCTATGTTAAAGGCACACTTGCTTCCAGGTGAGTGAGGATGATTTTAGGGTAGGGCCCTGGTCTGCCTTTGTACTTTCATGGACAGTCCGCATTATCCTAGACTTCAAACGTCTTCCCTGCCCTGGCTTGCTAGTCCCTTCCAGATGGACATTCCTTCCTTAGATATGCTAATTTCTTCCCTCCCAGGGCGCTGGCCAATCCTGCCTTATGGGACTCTTTCCTATTTAGGTAGGGGTGGAGTGAGCAATCTCACTGCTCCGCCCTCTCCTGGCACAGCCCCCCGCCACGCCCCACGACCCCCGGATTAGGTGGGCAAAGGGTCAAAGAGTGGTCTCATGGTGGGGACTGCAGAGGGCTCGAAGAGCGGGATCCAGGATTGCGATGCTGAGCCCTCCTGCGGGCAAGGACAGACCGGGCGTAGAGCCCACCAGGGGCGTGTCCCCATGCTCACCTGCCATTGGCCAGGTGGGGCCGCCGAACACAGCCTAACTATAAATGCGGAGCTGGAGGTTGCCGAGCCAGGCTTGGCGAAGGATGGTGGACAGCGTGTACCGAACCCGCTCTCTAGGAGTGGCGGCCGAAGGGATACCGGACCAGTATGCGGACGGGGAGGCGGCGCGCGTGTGGCAGCTCTACATCGGGGACACCCGCAGCCGCACCGCCGAGTACAAGGCGTGGCTGCTCGGGCTGCTACGCCAGCATGGCTGCCAGCGGGTGCTCGACGTAGCTTGCGGCACGGGGTGAGCCCCAACTGGGGCTGGGGAGTGGGGACGAGGGACTGGCTGTGCCGGGACAGGTGGGCTGCCGGACCGACTGGGCACGTTGGGGCGGTCCTCACCTGCCGGACTTGGGCAGGCGCAGGATGGACTCCAGGGCTGCGGCTATATGCTTCCCCCGGCAGAATGGGCACCTCAAGTGCACCAGTATGCCAAGAGGGAACAAGGTGTGTGGGAGACTCAGAGCAAGAGAGGGTGGGCGGAGTAGTGAGGGTGCATGGCGCAGAGCAAGAACTGAGCTTTGGGGCCAGGCCAGATCCTTGGCTCCAGCGTGTTTCTCCTGTGATGGCCTTGGGCAGCGTTAACAGTTAACATTTGTTCAATATTTGCACGTGCCAAGCGCAGTGCCAGGAGCTTTTCAAACCCTCACAAAACCTCATGAGGTAAGTATGATAATTCTCCAGTTATTACTGGGGAAACTAGGCCCTATAGAAGGAAAAGTTCCCCAAGTAGTAGAGGGAAGATACAAACCCAGGTGATTTAGGGTCTGGTCTATGTTCCAGACCAGCATGCTACATATACTGCCTGTGGTGAGCCAGTTTCCTACCATCTACCTCACAGGATTGCCGAAAGGATTAATGCACATTTGTAGTGCCTAGCTCTGACAAGGTGCTTTAAAATGAAAATTACTACCCAGTGATAAAAAAACAAACAAACAAAACAACAAAAAAAAACAGATTTATTCCAGATTTGGTAGGACATGCTTGTAATCCCAGGTATTTGAAAGGCTGAGGCAGGAGGATCAAAAATTCAAGGCCAGCCCGGGCAACTTAGCAATACACTGACTCAGAAAATAAAAAGGTCTGGGGATATAGCTCAGTAGTATAGAACCCCTAATTACAATCCACAGTACAGATTTCTGGGGTCATTTTAGGTCAATGGGGAGGGTCTGGGAGAAGAGGCAGAGAAATAGACTCTGAAGAGTTGAGGGAAGTGCCTTGCGCAGGGCTGCCTTGGCATCCTAGACTCTCCTGTTTTTCTTGGCCTCCCATCCCTGGCCCTGCTCAGGGTGGACTCCATCATGCTGGTGGAAGAGGGTTTCAGTGTGACGAGTGTGGACGCCAGTGACAAGATGCTGAAGTATGCACTTAAGGAGCGCTGGAACCGACGGCAGGAGCCTGCATTTGACAAGTGGGGTATGTAAACCTAGCCAGGCCTTCCTGACGACATTCCCAGGAACACTGGTCTCTCTTCCCTGAGCTCCTTTACATGGGGTGGTTTGGGGTATTTTGTTTTCCTCAGGAGATAACAATGTTACTGTCATTTTCCTAAAGACAGGCTTAAGTATCAGAATGAGCTACTGGGGTCAAGAGCTAGTTTGTTTCTGGTGCTGGGGTTGAACCCAGGGCCTTGGGCATGTTATGCATGAGTTCTACAAAGAGCTGTACTTGCAGTACTCCCTACCCTTTTTGAGATGGAGTCTGTTGCACAGTCTGGTCTTCCTTGCCTCCAGCCTGCTGAGTAGATGATTCTACAGGTGTGCATCACCACACCTAGCTCTGAAAGACTAGTTTTAACTACTTATAGCATCTTGTCCCTCTTCCCAAATAAAAATACATAAACAGAGCCCCTGTTCCCCAAAATGGCTCTCCCCTCTCTTCTTAATCTCCATGTTCCTCTAACTGGATGGGGACTCTGTGTTTTGAAGAAGAAAGTGATGGAGAATTGCACTTGGCGGAGGTGGACAGTGCAGGTACCATGATGCCACTCTAATTCCTTCTCCTTCTTGGCCCCCAGTCATTGAAGAAGCCAACTGGATGACTCTGGATAAAGATGTGCCCCGACCAGCAGGAGGTGGCTTCGATGCAGTCATCTGTCTTGGAAACAGTTTTGCCCATTTGCCAGACTGCAAAGGTGAGAGGTGTGATCTTGGGCACGTCACTTGCCTTGAGCTCTACCCCTTTCCACAGACTCCTGGGTGCCTGCTCCCCTGACAAAGATGACTTTGCCTTTTGGCCCCTCTGCCTTGGTACTGGCATCTGGGAGGGGAGAAATAGGAGGGAGAATGGTGCCAGGGGCCCTGTCCAGATGGAGCCTCTCTGCCCTTGCTGGAGTCCAGGTGACCAGAGTGAGCATCGGCAGGCACTGAAGAACATTGCAAGCATGGTGCGGTCAGGGGGCCTGCTAGTCATTGATCATCGCAACTATGACCACATCCTGAGCACAGGTTGTGCACCCCCAGGGAAGAACATCTACTACAAGGTGTGGTCCACCAGGGAAGGGCAGGCCCCAAATGGAAGGTGTGAGCCTGGGGTCCTCTGGCTCCATAGTGAGTTAATGTAGCTTACGCCACTGCCTATAGAGTGACTCGACCAAGGACATCACGACATCAGTGCTAACAGTGAATAACAAAGCCCACATGGTGACCCTGGACTACACAGTGCAGGTGACGGACGCTGGCCGGGATGGTTCTCCTAGCTTCAGGTACTGCTTGGCCTGGCAGGGGTGAGGTAGTAGTGGGGAAAGCTTGAGGCCACTGGTCCTCATGGTTGATGGGGGGCGCCTGTTGCAGTAAATTCCGGCTCTCCTACTACCCACACTGTCTGGCGTCCTTCACGGAGTTGCTCCAAGCAGCCTTTGGGGGCAAGTGCCAACACAGCATCCTGGGTGACTTCAAGCCTTACAAGCCGGGCCAGACCTACATTCCCTGCTACTTCATCCACGTGCTCAAGAAGACAGAATGAAGGTGGTCTTGCCTCCCATGATCCCCTGCCTAGGTACTCCAGGCTCTGGGAAGGTAGGGATCCATGGCCCCATACCAAGCCCAACCCTAGTACAGAGACACTGCAGTTGAGGTTCATGGATGTGGGTTCAGGAAAAAAAAAAAAAAAAAGAATAAACAATACAATTTGTGCCTTTTAATTCCCTAAGTCTTGTGTTTATGTCTGAAGGAACAGGCCCCCAGAGTGCCCGCGCCCACTTCCCTAGGCTCACTCCTCCCACAACCTTGCTCTTCCCCACTCCAACTTTTCACAACACCAGCAGAGGTCAGCATGTACTTTATTTTCTGCCATAAATGACTTCAGGGCCAATCCCCGGATAGATAGTCCCTGGCCCTCCTCAGCAGGTGGGCCCATCTTAAAGCTGGCCTGGAAGGAGGGGCAAAGAGGAGACATTGGGGTAAGGCCACACTGCACCCAGGGTGTCTCCTGGAGGGAGGCAGCCTTCAGGGGGTCAGCATAGCCTGAAGAGGAACCCTTTCATCTCAGGTCTCTCTGAGAGGCCATCTAGGTACCTTTTGCCAGTATGGGCAGTCCCAGGCTGCAGGCAGCTCCTAGCAGGCAGCAAACTTGTGCTGGATGTGCTTGTAGCGGAGCAGCTCCTGCTCACTGACTGAGGGTTGCAAGCGGGTGGCGGCCTGTAGCAGGTCCTCCATGGTAAGCAACAGTGCTGAGCTCGCCAATTCCAGCCCTAAGAGGTGACAAAGGGAAGTAAGGCAGCTTCCCACTGCAGAACAGAGGCTGTGTTCTATACCTCAGCAGAGAGCCCTGTGGGAGGTACCTTCCTGCTCAGAGTCCCCCAGATGTCCCTTCTCTAAAATCCCAGAATGACTTGTCTCTGCTAGCATTCTGGTTGACCTCCCAGGTTGTTATGTGGCTCACCTTCCTCCAGGTTGTGAACCTTGCGTTTGAGTGCAGTTGTCATGGCATCAGAGCAAAGAGAATAGAGGTCTGCCCCCGTCAGTTGGGGAGGGCAGCAATCCAGCACATTCACCAGGCTCACGGAGGGCTCTAGCTTGAACCTGTGTGGGTACACCAGAAACATTAAATGGTGCCACTTCCTTCCTTGAAAGCCACTGCTGACCAGCTTATCTTGCGCATTACATGCATCCCCTAACTGCCCAAACCCTTTGGGAGTCTTTCTCAAATAGTATGTACTTGCGTGTGATGGCACTTAGGACACGAAGCTGGGAGGCCCGATCCTCATTTGCCCCCACAAACACCAGCTTATCAAACCTTTAGGGAGAGAGGTGGGTAAAAGTGTCAGGGAGGTCAGCCAGGAGGGATGAAGGAAGCACAGAATTCGATGGAAGGATAATTCCAATGGGCCTGGTGAAGGTCAAAGCAGGGGTGCCCACCTGCCAGGCCGTAGAAGGGCAGGGTCCAAGAGGTCTGGTCGGTTGGTGGCACCAATCACAAACACATCCCGAGTGCTATGAAGTCCATCCAGCTCAGCCAGTAGCTGAGACACCACCCTATAGAGGAGGAAGCAAAGGCAGAGAGTCCTTGGTCCAGATCAGACTCTGCCCCTGCCTGTCGCGCTGCTTCTTACAGTCTGCCTCAACAGGGCCCTCTGCTCAGCTCTGTCCTGAATACCCTTCCATGTAAGCCCCCATTCTCTTCGGTGTTCCACACCCAACTCCACGACTCCTTTTAGCTTCCATTATATTATCTCAGAACTGAAAGGGCAGGCCAGACATGGTGGCACATGCCTGTAATTCCAGCAACTTGGGAGGCTGAGGCAGGAGGATCACAAGTTCTAGACCAGTCTCATTAATTCAGCAAGAGTGTCTCAAAATAAAAAGGCCTAGCAATGTAGTTCAGTGGTAAGGCACCCCTGGGTTAAATCCTGGGTACAAACAAACAAGCAAAAAAAAAAAAAAAAATCAAAGGGTAAGAACTTCTGTCTTGGGGCTCTGAAGACTGCTACAACCTGTCTCACATCCCTCCTACTTTGGGCCTCCACCTGTCCATCACTCCTCCAGAGTCTCCACTTCGCCCCCGACTGGGGGCCAAGGAATCCAGTTCATCAAAGAAAATGATACATGGAGCAGCAGCCCTGGCCCTGGAAAAGACTGAGAGAGGAGCTCACAGAAAGGGGAGTGGACCTCAGGAGGACTTGATCAGGGAAGAAGGGGAGGGATCCAGGGTCTAATAATTCAGCTCTGGCACTGAAGATACTAGGTCCCCCTGGGCAGGAACCCAACTTGTGGAAAGGAAGACTAGGAATGACCAGGATTAGCCTAAGGAGGGGAGTGGCACAGGAGCCATTAGGGTTTAGGAAGGACCAGAAGCTCTACCTCTCATCCGGCTCACCTTCTCGTACATTTTCCTCACTTTGGCCCACGTACATGTTGATGAGTTCTGGCCCCTTCACACTGAACCAGAGGATGTGAGAAGGTGAAACAGGTCCCACAGTTTGACCTCTCAGGTATCCCCTTCTGCTCCCCAACCCACCACAGCACCTCACCCAACTGCCATCCCTTCCAGGCCCCTTGCCCACCTGAGGAAGGTAAGGCTGCATTCAGTGGCTACTGCCTTGGCAAGGAGGGTCTTGCCTGTGCCAGGGGGCCCGTGGAGCAGGAGGCCCGAACGTCTTAGGCCCAGGCTCAGGAGCTCAGGGTGCTCTAGAGGGAGCTGGATGGTCTCCAGAATCTCCTTTTTCACCTCCTGTAGCCCGCCCACATCATGCCAGGACACTGAGGGAATCTAAGACACAGAAAGCAGGCTGTTGGGGATGTCCAAGTGGAGGAAGCACCTTCCCCACCTCTGAGGAGCTGGAGTCTCCACCTTGGGTGCTCCCACAGACTGGGAATGAGCTGTCTGAAGTTGCTCCAGTGCCTGCCCAAAGTCCTCAGCCAGAAGGGGGAAGCCAGCAGTGCACAGCTCCCCCTCATCCTCCTCGCTCCAGCTGCCTGCCACACTGCAAAGAGACACACAAGAGGCCTCTGGAGGGCTGCACTTAAGGCTTCATCCCTGTCAGTTCCCATGTCCTTCTTTTCTCACCAGCCCCTCCCCTTAAATTTCCTCTTCCTGTCTTCTCCCTCCTGTGCTCCACTCCCCTTACCCTGAATTCTTGATCCTGGTGCAGGCTGCTCGGCTGCTGTGAGTCAGAAGGGCACAGAGATCTCCTACCACAAAGCCCTAAGGAATCACGCGAAAGGACACATGAGCAGGGCAAGTAGGCAGGAACCTTTGTGGGGCTGGTCCCCCAGCTGGAGCCAAGGCCTTGGGGTTCCTACCCTAATGCACAGGGCATCGGGGCTGAGTTCTATCTATGTTGATACTCACTGCACACCGCCGTGCTAGCTGGGCCAGGTTCACCTCTTGGCCCAGGGGCAGGTGGGTGGTGAGGGCCTGCAGGATGCTGAGCCGTTGCCCCTCTGAGAGCACAGGCACCTCTAGCTCATGAGGAAATGCTGTCTGCACATCAGCAGGCAGGTCCTGGGCCCGGCTTGTGGTGGCCACAACCATCAGGGGAGGGCAACTGCAGACGGGAGTGGGCACTGAGAGTGACAATGTGCCTGGCAGCTCCTGGGCACTGCCTTGTCCTAAGACTGGTGCAGAAGTACAGGGGAAGTGGGGTGGGTGCTGGAATGGGGTATGAAGATGAGTATCACCCAAGTGTTCCTGGATGGGAATCTACAGAAACAGCCTGAGAGGACTTGTGCTTCTCCCTCCACAAGGGGAGCTCACAGAGGGGAGAGGCTGTATTTTCGCTTCAGCCTAGTGTCCCCCTCCAATACGAAACCACAATCTTCCCCCTGAACACCCCAAAGACCCTTAGCTTAGGGTAGCCAAATGGGCAGATTGCTGGAAGCCACAGGAGGGTGAGAAAAGACTGAAAGGCTAAAAAGAATTAAGAGGACAGGGACCTCAGCTCTACAGCAGATCCTGCTCTGCATAAATACCTGCTTAGGGGGTCCTCATTGAGGAGGAGGTGACGCAGTGTGGCCACCACACGGGCATCCTCACCCAGCCCATCACGGTCCCGGCCCAGAAGATCCACAGCTGTCAGCAATAGCACTACAGGCCGGCAGCGGCGTGCCTGGGAGAAGGTGGCCTGAAGTTTTGCCTCCACAGCCCCACTGCTGCCTGCACAGAGGCTGGAGCAGGGCACCTAGGAAAGGGGTGTCAATGGTCTATGAGCAAGGGCAGGCATGACTGAGACAGGGAGGTGGGGAAAGGAGAAACTAGAGGACACAGGTCATCTTTACTTGGGAGGGCAGGGATGGGCAAAGGAGGGTTCAAATTCTACTATTTCTCCCCCCTCCCCCAACCCTTTGTACTGAACATTAAACCCAAGGAGCTCTACCACTGAGCTACATTCCCAGCCCTCTTTATTTGGAGACAGGGTTGCTGAGTTGCTGAGGCTGGCTTCAAGAACTTGTGATCCTCCTGCCTTAGCCTCCCTAGATGTGTGACACCCAATCCGACATGGCAGACGTTTCTTTGTATGGCTATACTAGGTTAAAGTCTCCCATTTTCTCCCTTTTAGGGAGTTGGAGGTTGAACCCTTGATCTCAGGCATACTGGAGTAGCACCCCACCACTTTACTACATCCCTAGTCCAAGGTTTACTTTTTAACCCAACCCATTCTGTGGACTATCCACCATAATCTTGAAAACACTTCCTACTTCTTTTTTTTTTAAATATTTTTTTTTAGTTGTAGATGGACATAATACCTTTATTTAATTAATTTATTTTTATGTGGTGCTGAAGATCAAATCCAGTATCTTACATGTGCTAGGCAAGCACTCTACCACTGAGCTACAACTCCAGCTCAAACACTGCTTTCTTGAAAGGACTCTCAAGAGATGAACATTGTGGGAATATGCTGTGGCCACTAGGCAAAGTTGTTAGAGCCAATGGTCAACAGAGGAAGACAAGAGGAAGAGGGAGACAGACTCTGGGCTGGGGAGAGGAAGCAGTTAGGGTTCACCTTCAGAAAGTGGAGCCCAAGGCGACTACAGGCAGCTGCGACTGCTGTTGTCTTCCCACTGCCTGGTGGGCCCCATAGAAGGACACAGCCAGTTCCTGTCAGTAGGGATCCCCTACAACCAGAGAAGACATTTGTTTCCTCCATTCTGTTCAAATGTCAGAAGCCCCAGTAACCCAGGGACCCTTGGATCTCAAAAGCAGATACGTTATTTGTCTCTCCTTAGGTCCTGCCTCCAGCTCTATCTCTATGATGAGGCCATATATCCCACACCATCTCTGGTGTTCTGGAAGGGGCATGGAACTTATCCAGCAGCCAAAGACTAACTCTCTTTGGTCAGCTGTGCCTTCAATAGCGTCTGGCTTATCATGTATGGTCTGAACTGAACTGAGAGGCACCAAGAAGGGATCTGGGTCTATACTCAAGACACTTATATTAGGAGCTGTGTCCCTCAGGGCCAGGGTGGTGAAGGCCAGGATGACCACTGAGTTCCCCAAGAAGGGAGCCTCAGAGACGACTGCCCCTGCTGGAGACTCTTCCTGCACAGACAACCTTGGAAAATGGAAATTATTTTAGCAAAGAACACAGAAAGGACAGGGCTGGTGGCCTGCAATCGGTGTGAAGGCTTCCACTCTGGGGAGAGCATTAGGAATCATCTGTCTTGGGCTGGGGTTGAGCGCTTGCCTTGCATGCGGGAGGCACTGGGTTCGATCCTCAGCACCACATAAAAAAATAAATAAAACAAAGCTAGGAAATTCATACCCTGTGGCTGTGGCCTCACTCACCCTGGCTGAAGGCGCGGCTTCAGAGCAGTACAAAGCTCAGTCACCAAGGGCTCCAGACCCGGAGGAGACAAGCTATTCCAGAGAGTGGATTCTCCTGAAGGAAGCATTGGGACAGGGCTCAAGGTAGAACCCACCTGTGAAAGGCAGGAGGAAGTGTTAGGTTCTAAACATTCATTCTACCCCCTATACCAGGTCTACTCCCACTCCTAGGCCTCACCATGTATAAGGAGGTATGGGTGGTATCAGCCAAGTAAGCCCTGATTGGTTCATCTGGAGCATCCCCAATTGTTTTCTTCACTTTAAAAAACATTTCCCGCCACCTGAAGGAAAGAGCCCAATGAACCCCAGACCTGGAGCTGGAGCCCATGTACTCCCTTTCCCAAGGACAGATAGCTTTCTCAAACATAGAGGACAAACTCAAGACAATATAAATAAGAGCCCTGAGATGAGGCAGGGAGTATGGGAGTAGGGGGAAAGGAAAGCAGATGGTCTTTCTTATTTCCTGGACTGGATCATATTTTTTTTTTTTTGGTACTAGAGACTGAACCCAGGGGTGCTTTACCACTGAGCCACATCCCCAGTCCTTTTGTTATATTTTATTTAGAGATAGGATTTTGCTAAGTTGCTTAGGGCCTTGCTAAATTGCTGAGGCGGCTTTGCCTCCTGTCTCAGCCTCCTGAGACAATGGGATTATAGGTGTGCACCACCTCACCTGGCTAACCTGGCTTCTTCAAGGTCCAATCAGGGTGCAAATTCCTTTGGTCACACTATCCAACAGATGCCAAGCTTGGAAGCAAAGGGGGTGGGTGGGAGTGGCTCATGGTAGAAGGGAGTAGCATAGCAAGTTCATGTACTAGACCATATGGTCTATTAGACCATAGGGAAAACTATATGCTAGGGATGAAACCCAGGCCTTTCAGTGTGCTAGGGAAGAATTCTACCACTAAGCATCCCCAGTCCAGAAAACTGTATCTTACTGTAACTAGTTAAATAAGTGATAGGGGCTTCTAAAGTGTAGAACCTTAATTAAGGCAAATACCTTGAGTTGGAACGCATATTGGAAACATTGCCTAGGAAAGTGAGGAAGGAAGGCACTGGTGTGTGTGTGGGGTTAGGGTACCACCTTCCTTGGTTGTAAAGTAGTTAGACCACCTTAAGGAGAATGGCCAGACTCTGGAATCTATTTGGGTTGTGTTCCACCCAGAATGCTGGATGGGTGGCAATGAAACTGGCTCCCATGTGACCTGGTTCTGGGAAGTGCAACACAGGAGAAGCTGAAGAGGTGCCACTAACAGTGGAATCCCTTGCCAGGCAGGCAGCTCAGGGCCCTCTCAGGGGTTCCCTTAACAAGCCTAGTGTGGCTTGTTAATACTAATTTCTATCTGTCCTTAGGCCACCTTCCAAAACCCTGCTTGACTGGGTGCCTGCTTAGGGGGAAGACAAAAGTCCAGGAACAGAAATGGCTCACTATTCTATCACAGAAAGTTCCAGTGCTTGTTTTCTTTTGAAAGTACAAAAGGTGGGAATTCTGTAGTTTTCCTATAGCTTATAAGCATTTGCTAGATTTAAGAGGAGAGACACAGTTAGAAAGTAACCGATAAATGCCAGTCAGCATTTCCTGCCAGGATTTAATCTGGGAAACCTCAAAGTGGTACCATGGAGCCTAAATGAAGTTACACAGGGCATTACCAGGCCCTTCATCTGGGCACCACCATCCTGAAACTGGGTGCACGGAACACCAGACAGAATGAAGCATAGATATTGACCAAGGATGAACCAGGCACTCCAGACAAGGTGTTGCTTTTGACAGAGGACAGGCTGGCTGCCAGAGACCTTATGCCTGATGGCTCTCAGGGTTGGGTTAGTGTACCTATCAGTTGTGTTCTCCTCCTAGCACTAGAGGAAATTAGTCCAATCAATAAAGGGACTACCTGGGGTACAGAGCTAGACATCTTCCTCCCTTCACATAAGGCAGAAGCACTCTTGTTTGTTGCTGGGAATTGAACCTAGGGCCTTGTACATACTACACATGTACTACTGTACTGAGTTATACCACCACTGCTTCTCAAATTTTTTTTTTTTTGAAATTTTTAAATTTTATTTATTTGCATGTGGGGCTGAGAATCGAACCCAGTGCCTTACACATGCTAGGCAAGCGCTCTATCACTGAGCCACAGTCCCAGGCCCCTTCTCAATTTTTTTACTTCCCCATTTTTACATGGGACTTCAGTGGTCAGAAGCAACAGGAGAACAGAAAAGCTGGATATCTGACTTGGGCTCTTGGCTAAACTACGTTCTACCTCTAATTCTCTGAGGGTAGGCCTCTCCAGCTCAGCAGCAATCCCTTTGTCCCGTTTTCTGAGATAAGGTTGTGAAGCAGCATGTGCACACTCGATGGGTTAGGGCAAAAATCAAAGTCTGTGTATCCTTATGTTGAAATATGAGCAACATGGCCTGAGTCCTGGCCCAAACAACACTGTTGAGAAGGAAAAGGAAGGAATCCCATCTTGGTCAAGTCATTAGCAGCCCCCCACCCTCCCCAGTCCTGGGAACTCAACTCAGGGCCTTGCCCATGCCAGGCAAGGCCTAGGCTGTGGTTCTTAACTTTTTTTCAGTCATACACCTGTTTGGGAACCCAAAGAATTTTTTTCCTCTACAAAAAAAAATGTACCCAACAACAAAATATTCTTAGGCACAAATTATTACATATAATTTTGGGGGGAGAGGATTATAGAATTGCACCTAGGTTGCAAATTCCAGTTATAAAATAGGAGGAAGCTGCATACCTGGGCAGCTTCTCTGGATTTCCTTCCAGGATCTCGACTTGCCCGAACGTTGGCACACACAGAACATCCCCTTCCTGTACCACCCTGAAACACAGTCGTGGCCTTGGTCAGCTACCAGTGGAGTCATAAGCATGTGCTTACCACATTTCCCCATGCGCACTCCCAACATATAGACTACTTCTTAGGGATCTACTGCTCACCAGAGATTAGCAAATTTACCAGAGAACAAGCAGACGTAGACCAAGCTGGGGAAATGGAGGGGAGACTAGAAAGGGGGAGCAGAGATAATGAGAGAGCAGGCTACCGGCTCTTTTGGAGTGCTCTTTGATCAAACAGGTTTCTTAGTTTATAATGTCCAAATTCACCTTATGATTCAGATTTCTATTGTCTGCCTTACACAATGAGAATACAATATGCCTAAAAATGGCTTCTTTCAACCAGAGGGGTTACCTGGATAGGTAGAAGAGGCAAGTGATGAGGCTGAGATGCTATTTTCCTTAAAAGGGGTAGGCAGCTAACCTGGGTGTCTGAAAGTGCTGGTAAAGAGCATGGTCATAACTTCCATTAGTGCTGTAGTGGGGAGAGGACACAATTTCGATGTGTAACTCTCTGGCAAATGGAGGCCTAGGCAGCAATGAGCAGCTTCCTTTGTCTTCGGGGGTGATGGAGCCTTCCAAGTATCTCTATTAGAGAAATAATCACCACTTTATAACTTTCTCCCAAAGAGTCAGGCCCTGTCCTACTTCTTAGCAGCCATAGACTTGTTGGAGGTGGGGCCTGAGGTAGCAGAACTAAACACCTCTGTCTGCTTTCTTTACATTTTTCTTATTACTCAAGCATAGATTTGGGTATACTATTTTTTATATTTATTTTTAGATCTGGGTTTAATATTTTTTTGTGGTGCTGGGGATTGAACCCACAGCCTTGTGCATATGAATCAAGCACTCTACCAACTGAGCTATATCCCCAGCCCCCTAAACACCTCTGTCTTCCCTAGAAGATAGAAGCCTTTCCCTCTAATGAACACCAGGAAGCTCTTTTCCTGACTCTGCATCCAAAAAATTCCCCAGTAAAGACAATCTTTCTGGCCCACATCCAGTAAAGTGACAAAGACAATTATTCCCACAAGTCCTTTGAATGACATTAGGCAACCAATGGGATTGATATTAAGTGGACTGTGGGAAAAAGACATGATCTTAATAAAGTTGAAAGAATTGGTTCAGCTGAATGAGCTCCACTGTGAATACTCTAGTAGATTTTCCCCATTGAGAAGGAATCCACATCTCCCATTTATGTATATCTTCTTGTCCTGCCATCTCATAGTTTTTGTTTTTACAATATTAGGATTGAATCCAGGGCTTTGTACATGCTGGGAAAATGCTCTAAACTGAGGCTCATACCCTCTGCCCATCCCACAATATTAATTAACCACTCTAGCACTGTCCAACAGAACTTTCTGCAATGATGGAAATATTTGATATCTACATGAGGTGACTGAGCATTTGAAGTATGGCTAAATAAAGAACTGAATTTTTTACTTTAGTTTTAAGTTTAAAGAACCACAAAGTGGCTAGTGCCTTCCATACTGGACATCACCAGTCTAAAACATATGTACAGATGCTTAATTAAACGTTAAATTATATTTTTCTTTTTTTTTAATATTCATTTTTGGATACCTTTTATTTATTTAATTTTTAAAATATTTATTCTTTTAGGTGTAGATGGACACAACACAATGCCTTTATTTTTATGTGGTGCTGAGGATTGAAACCAGGACCTCACATGTGCGAGGTGAGCACTCTACCGCCGAGCCACAACCCCAGCCCAAAACTATATTTTTCTAAGTACAACTGTCGTCTTCTTTTTATTTATTTATTGTTTTTTTAGTTGTTGATGGACCTTTATTTTATTTATTTGTATGTGGTGCTGAGAATCAGACCCAGTGCCTTATGCATGCTAGGCAAGCGCATTACCACTGAGCCACAATCCCAGTCCCTTCTTTTTATTTTTAAATATTTACTTTTTAGTTTTAGGTTGACACTATATCTTTATTTTATATTTATGTGGTGCTGAGGATCAAACCCAGTGCCTCATGCGTACTAGGCAAGCACTCTACCACTGAGCCACACTCTAGCCCCTACAACTGTCTTCTTGAAGTGAAGGCAGAAACCAATATATTTTTCAATATATTTAATGAAATATTAAAGTTGACCAGGTTGGGAGCAGTGAAACATGATTGTAATCCCAGTGATTTGGGAGGCTGAGGAAGGAGGATTGCAAGTTTGAGGCCAGCTTCAGCAATTTAGTGAATCTAAGCAACTTAGTGAGACACTCGTCTCAAAATACAAATAAAACGGTCTGGGGATGTAGCTCAGTGGTAAAGTGGCTCTGAGTTCAATCTCTAGTACCAAATTAAATTAATTAGTTATGTTAACCACTAGGCACCGGAGATTAAAAAAAAAAAGGAGTCCTTTCCTTCAAGGAATTTACAACAATAACATAATTAGAGATTAGACAGATTATGTAATCAACAAGGCAGAAGATAAATGCACTAAAAAAAAAAAGGTACGAAATGCTACTGGAGTAAGAAATAATGTTAAATTTGTGGTAGCAAGATTATGAAAGTCTATGAAGAGGTAGCATTGTTAGGTAGGGCTAAAAGATGTAGGAAAGGATGGCAGGATATTAACAGAAGGAGCTAAAAAAGGAAAGCATTTGAAGTCAAGGATAAGCATAAGGGCTGGGGTTATGGCTCAGTGGCAGAGCACTTGCCCTGCACATGTAAGGCACCCGGTTCCATCCTCAGCACCACATAAAAATACATAAACGAAATAAAGATATTGTGTCCATCTATAACTAAAAAATAAAAAGATTAAAAAAAAGAATAAACATAATCAAAAGCACTGAAACACTATCCAGTACAACACTGAATATATTGCAGTAATCCAATAAACAGCTGATTAAACTGAGCAGATTAATATACACACCTGTCAATTGATCGTGAACTTCATTTTTCACCCGAACAGCTGAAAACCCTTTCCATGCACCACTACGCTATGATATTTTGACTGAAGAGAATGGATAAACAAGGCTAAGAGACATTAACAGTTCAAGGTGGTAAAGGGCGGGGAAAATAAATACAAGTCTAGTCTTCAATTCAGTTAAGAAAGAAAAAAAGGATAAGGAAACACTCCTCACCTGAATCTTGAGCTCTCCCACGTCCATGGGGTCACAGCCGAGATTAAAAGCCAGAGTGGCAGGCACGAGAGCCGTTCGGTCAGCGAGCGGCTCTGCCAGCTGCACGGAGCTGGGTCCCAGTCTCTCAGACAGGTCCCAGCGAGGCTGCAGGACCTGCACCGTGGCTAAGTGCGGCTGAGAAGTGTTCGATAACTCTCCGGCCCGGGTTACCCACACCCACTCGCCCTGGAAGAGGCTGAGACCACGGAGACAGCTCCGGCTCACCCCCAGTGCATCTCCAGTCCCTCCCAAAACTCCTCGGAGTTGCCGGACTGTGCCGGAAACAGCGAAGGAGGACACCACCGGCGGCGGCGGGGGCCGGCTATTATCCCCAGTCCCTGGGCACAGTCTGTTCCGCCCGCGGAGCTCAGTTACAGCCAGCCGCGTCCCCGGGCCCAGCAGCCCTTGCAACACCGGCCGCGTCTCCAACACCCGGGGCCCCGGCACCGGCAGGGTCTCTCCACGCCTCACTAGCAGAGGACCGACTCGTGGTCCGAGCCCAGGCCCCGGTGAGGTGCCAAGCAGTGCCCAGCCCAGGGCCGGGGGCCGTCGCACGGGCCGCGCCCGCACCTGAGCCCCGGGTCCCAGTGCTAGGAGCCGCAACAGTGCGCGGCTAACCAGCAGCTGCGGGGGCCCAGGACCTTGCTCCTCAGTCTCAGCACCTGGCCGTTCCAGGGCAGCCACTAACAGAGCCGGCCCTGCTGGACTCTCTCCTGCAGGCCGAAGGGCCAGAACCAGGCCCAGCCCCGCAGCAGGCCATGGGTCCCCGGGCGGCAGCAGTACTACCAAAGGGGACGTCTCGGTCGGGAAGGGTTCCAGGACGCGCAAGACAGCCAGCACCATGGTGATTAGAGATCTACCAGGAGAGCCAACTAGTACGGCTTCCGGAGCTTGCGAACCGGAAGACTAGGCGACGTAAGTGCTGCTTCCGCTTCGGTTAAAGGCGGTGTGAGGAAAATGGGAGGGGCGTCAGGTGCCTGGAGCAAGCTCTGAGAGGTTCCTCTGCTCCTCGGGAAGATCCCGACCATCCCTCGATGGCAGTAACCATATTCACCCTGTGCGCATGCGCCCTGTGAACCAGTGTTTACCAGGATTTGCCTTTGCCTTGGAGGGGAGTAACCTCCTCTCAACTGCTATGCCCGTTAGCATATTCTGAATAGTTTACTGACTGATCAGCGAGCGGCCTGGGACTGACTAGTGCTGGGAGTTGTAGATGGAATGTTTCAAAAGAGTCCACTCCTCTGTAGGAATTCTTACACTTTGCTCTATGCAGCTGTAGGCATTGAAGTTTGAGGGTTGTAGAGAATATTGTTGGAGGGAGTGGTAGGATTATAAAACTGTCTCAGACATGCTTATAGGTACGCAGTGACTGCTGGCTGAATTACTATATGTGATTCATGTAGCCCTGGAGTGCTTGGTGCCGCCACACCTGTTCCAACACATCCTACACAAAACCCACATTCCAGCACTTCTTGTCCTGTTCATTGTCCTGTCTTTCTATTCCCACCAAACTTGAAGACAAAACAGCTTCCCTTTCCCCCGCACCAATTCTTGGAGACCCTTTGCTATTTCTATCCTGGAGGAGGGCAGGCAGCAGAACTGGGGGAAGGGAGGGGTTTGAGACTTCTGTCACGACTACTGAGTCAATAGCCTACTTTCTACTTGTGCTGTTAGAGTCCATCCTTATCTTTATTCGTACAGTGGTAGGCCACATTTCCAATATATTATCATTTATAATAAATGGATTAGATGGTGGCGGTCTCTTCTCTCTGAACGTTGTGTTCTCTTTCAGCTAGTGCCCAGCTTTCTCCTTGAGACTACATCTTGAGGTAGTCTATTTTGAGTAGCATATATTTCTGAAAACCTAAAAGTCAAATACTTGAAATTGCCCATTCCTACTTTTTTGTTGTTGTTTTTCAGGATTGAACTAGGGCACTCTGCCACTGAGCTACATCCCCAGCCCTTTTTATTTTTATTTTTTTATTTTGAGACAGGGTCCTGCTAAGTTACCCAAGCTGGCCTTGAACTTGTGATCCTCCTGCTTCAGCCCCAGAGTCACTGGGATTACAGGCATGTGCCACCATGCTCCACAATTCCTACATTTCTTTTAAATATTTATTTTTTAGTTGTAGTTGGACACAGTATCTTTATTTTATTTTTATGTGGTGCTGAGGATCGAACCCAGGGCCTCCCACGTGCTAGGTGAGCGTTGTACCGCTGAGCCACAATCCCAGCCCCCACAATTCCTACATTTTATTTATCTATTTATTTATTTATTAATATTTATTTTTTAGTTTTTTAGGTGGACACAATATCTTTATTTTATTTTTATGTGGTGTTGAGAATTGAACTCAGGGCCTCACGCATGCTAGGCAAGCGTGCTACCACTTGAGCCATATCCCCAGCCCCAATTCCTACATTTTAAAAACAGCATATAAGAAGGTGCTAGGAATCTGGATTCACATAGATAAAAGTTCCCATTTGGTAGTCCTAGTCCTACTATCTGTGGCTCTGTCCCCTGCCTCCCAGAGGGATCAAAGACTGGGTAATGGATTGCGCCTGTAGAAGACATGTCTGTTTTGTACAGTAGAACGTAAGCTCTAGGCCTCAGGACTATGGTGTTCCTTGAGGCCTTGGGCATAGACAAATACATCTGGTATCTTGTCTATATCAGCCCTCATGCAGACACAAATGCCCATCCATTAATAAACATCTTCTCACCCAGGCTTTTCCCCAACAAATAATTGACATGCAATGGAAACTTTGTGTTGCCTTGAGATCATTACTTATTAAAGTCAAATACTATTTCTGTAAGCTAGCTAGGATCCTACATTTGTTGTCTTCATTTCTTTAGCTTTTGTTCACACTTCAACCCATTATAAACTTCTTTCTATGCCTCTAAAACTTCCATGGCAAAAATCACCAGTAACCTCCTAACTGCAGGATCAAGTTGTTGCTGTTCAATTTTTATCTTACTCAGTCTTCCTGTGACCAATCCTCTTTTACTTCCCTTGCCATTATGACACCAGTTTTCTTCTTATGTCTTTGACTACTTCTGGAAGCCATCCTTAGCTCCTCCCTTTCTGATACTGTCTCCCCACAATCCAATGAATCACCAAATCCTGTTGAATCTACACATTTTCCAATCCCAACTTCTCTTCTCCATCCCTATGATCACTGCCTTTAAATGTTACTATCCCTGGGCAAGTTTTATTTATTTATTTTGCAGTGCTGGGGGAAAGTAGCACCTCCTTCATGCTGGGCAAGCATCTATGACTGAACCTCCAGGCCCAGAGATTTACTCTCCATAGGTTATTCTTCTTGGGTCTTCTCCAGGGTGATTCATTCTTTCGTTCTTTCTTTCTTTTATGGGGTATGTGTGTGGTACTGGGGTTCAAACCAAGGGCCTTACTCTATCATGGAACTATATCCCAGCCCTCCCAACCCTTTATAGTTTTTTTTTTGGTACCAGGGATTGAATCCAAGAGCAATTAACCCACTGAGTCACATCCCCAGGATCTTGCTAAATTGCTTAGGGCCTTGCTAAGTTGCTGAAACTGGTTTTGAACTTGTGATCCTCCTGCCTCAGCCTTCTCAGCAGCTTCAATTCCAGACATGCACCAACATGCCAGTTTTTAGTTTTATCTTGGGGTAGAGTCTCGATATATTGCTCAGGCTGGCCTCAAATTTGCCATCCCTCTGCCTAAAGATCCCTAGTAGCTGGGATTACAAGCCACGTTTCTTTTTCTTTTTTTTTTTTTTAATATTTATTTTTTTAGTTTTAGATGGACACAATATCTTTATTTTATTTTTATGTGGTGCTGAGAATCGAACCCAGTGCCTCACGCATGCTAGGCAAGCACGCTACCACTTGAGCCACATCCCCAGCCCTATTTTATTTATTTATTTATTTTATTTATTTTTTCCTTTTGCAGTGCTGGGGATTGAAACCATGGCCTAACTAACACATGCCAGACAAGTGCTGTAACAATGAGCCACATCTCCAGCCTAGGACTAGTTTCTTAATATAGTCAGTCAGTTACCAGAGTAGCCTCTCTGAACTATTCCTCCTTGCCACTTCAAGGTTCGTGCACTCTATTATTATTATCATTGGTACTGGGGATTGAACCCAGGGGGTGCTTTACCACTGAGTTACATTTCTAGCTCTTTTTATTTCTTTAAGATTGGATCTTCCTAAACTGCTAGGTACTGGCCTCCAGATTGGGATCCTTCTGCCTCAGCAGGATCCCGAATCACTGGGATTACAGACTTGTGCCTCATTGCCCGAATTTATTACATTGTATCTTAACCATTGGTTTACACAAGTTTGAATTTCACCAGACTATGAACTTCCTGAGGGCAGGAACTGAGTCTCACCCATTAGAGCCCTGGTTTGGGTGGGGTGGTGCGTAAGGGATGTATTTCCAGAGACATTAACAATGAGATTGCTTTTCCACTTTGTTTTTAGCTACTCAAATCTAACTAGTTCTCCAATCCCAGGATACTTGCAGTAGATATAGGGGCCCATTTCATAAGGTTACAACAAACCAAGAATCCTCATTCCTTTCACCCAGGTCCCACCCCTGGCAGGCGTCCCCTTTACTCCCCTCTAACTCAGGTCTAGGGGGGGTGAATGCCCTGGAGGACCCTTAGGAGACTTCGGCAATTGGCACCTGCACTCAGTTTTACTTTACCCCAATGAAGAAAGGTGCCCTTCGTTTTAGGGCTTCTTTTCTTCATTTCATACTGGGCTAGCTTGCAGAGTGGGGAAAGTGGGAGAGTCACTTCAAAAAGAAAGAGCACAGCTCCAACGGCTACGAAGAATGGCCGAGGACGACGCACACCCGACGCTGGAGTGCAGCTCTGCTGGCCAAGCTGGGGCTTCCCCTTACCCCCGCCTCCTTCATTAAGCCCGACCCATTTTGGGGCGGGATTTCCCACCTCAGCCAATTCTGGGAGCCGAACCCTGGCGGTTTGTACTCTTTCTTTCCAATGAGAAAAAAAGGAAGCAGCTTGGCTCCAATGACCAATCCGAGGAGGCGGCGCCTGGTTGTCAGGCAGGTTTGTAAGAGTTCGGGCCAATTAGAGGCGCAGGCACCGCTGGACCCGGGCGCAGCGCGCAGGCGGTGGCGGAGAGACGCCGAGCGGGCCGAGTGCGGCCGAGCAAAGCCGGAGCCGGAGCGGGGCCGCAGGAGCCGGGCCGGGTCCGGACGGGCCGAGATGCCCTATAAACTGAAGAAGGAGAAGGTGAGCGTGGCCCTTTCCCTCGCGCCTCTGCCTTAGGGCCTGCGCGGAGCTCTGGGAGGGGCCCGAACCAGGCCCGGGACAGCCCTAGACTGACCCTCCCGTCCGGCCCCCCGCAGTACTCCCCGGAGCAGCCCTTAGCTCCCGCGGCTGGCAGCACCTCCAGCCCCTGCCGCATCTAGGATAGCTCCCACCTTGCCCTGGACGTATTTCCCCCATATACACCTCCTTTTTTTTCCTCCCTCCTCCTACCCGCGGCTCCAGTAACCTCCTCCCTCCGGATCTGCCCCACTCCTAGGTCACTCCCCTGCTTTTTTCCCTCTGTGTCCCACCGTCCCCGATTCCCCAACGGTTTCTGTGTCTCCCTCCAGAACTGCCCTTTTCCCCCCGCCCTGCGCAGCCCCCTTCCCTCTTCTTCTCACCGGCCTAGGATTGCCTCTCCACAGTTCCCTATGCCCCTTCTTTCTGAACGCCAAGCCCCCTGACCTAGAACAGCGCTGCTTTCTTTCTCCTTCACCCAAATCTGGCTAGGCCCTTTCTTTAGTTCTTCCTTCACACACAAACTTGTAAGCCAGAACTGAGCTCTTCCTTCTGTTGATGGAACCTCAGAACGTCAGTGCTGGAAGGAAGCTCTGAGCACATGTAGTGCAATCCCTACTGGTACAGATGAGGAGACTGAGGCCCCTGTAAGGGAAGGGACTTGTCCAAGGTCACACAGTCTGCTGGA